CTGCTGGATTTGTTGGGCTTTTTGTATAGCCTTCGGTTTGGGAGGGTTGGAGAGGATTGTTTGAGTTAGGATGGCCCGAAGACCAAAGGGGTTTTTTCGGTGTATTCTTTCTATCATATGCTTACGGGAGGGGCTGGGGTGCCATTCCCGTGGAAGAGTGTTTGGGTGGCAGGTTGTCTGTCCAAGGTTGCTTTCTTTGTGTAGACATCATTGTTTGATAAGTGAACTAGTGTTGCATGTGTTGAGGGGCTGAGGAAACAGTGGATCATTTGCTTGTATATTGCCTAGTTGCTTCACGTCTTTGGATGTTTATTGTCATTATTTTTGGTTTGGTTTGGGTCAACCAGTGTCGGTGTTGGCGGTTTTACAAAGTTGGGCTGGGGGTAGGGTTGGGAGGCGGCATCGGAAAGCATAGAAGTTGGCTGGACATTGTTTGATGTGGTTGATTTAGTTGGAGTGAAATAGATGGGTTTTTATGGGAGAGATACGTTCGGTGGCATGGTTGGAACAACGTTTGTTCACTGTGTTGCATAGCTGGATATCATTATCAATTGATCCGAATGTGCTATCTTTGTTGACTTCGTAGAGGATTTGATTCAGTAGTTGTTTTGATGCTCTTGTGGAGCTGTTTTGTGTTGCTCTTGTATATGTGTTTTGCTGGCTAGTCTTTTAGTTGGTTTTGTATTATTTGCATCATCTTCATGTTTTTTCAATAAAGTTTGCTTATTTATCAAAAAAAATACTTTTAAGAATAAGAATTGAACATTATTATTATATTCGCAAAAAAAAAAAAATTCAAACAATAAATACTTGACATTTATGAAACAAAAAGTATGTACAAAATAAAAAAATAAAAATAATAACATATATTAAATACTTTATCACAATGATCATAGCCATATTGGTCGTAGTAGCTAACACCAACTTGAGTCATCAAATACCAATTTGGTCATAACTAAAGTCACTACAATAAGTCGTAACTAAAATCACTTTTACACATAATCAAACATAATAATGAGACTTAACCAATTTTTATTTAATACTTTGTTAGCCTCACTAAGACAATGGCCTATAACTAAAAACCATGATGACTCGTAACCAACACCAATTTAGACCATAATTAGCATATGGTATACACCACGTGTATTGCATCATAACCCTAACTAAAGCAAATTGAGATTTTTGAGGGGCCAACTGTTTACCAGTTATAAAACCAAGAGCAAATATGACATATTTTACAAGAATTTTAAAATGTTTGAAGGGGCTTGGAAGATACTTGCCAAAAGTTCGATACATTGTCTCACAAGGATGTAGCCTCACTGGTGTTTGCAATTTGCAATCATTAACAGAGTTGTATATGAATTTATATGGAAGTATATAATAATGAAAATAAAATGAAAAAGTCATTTCTTTTCCTAATAGGGTGTGGTTGAGGGAGGAAGGAAGAGAATAGGAAAGACAAAGAGAGAAAGGAGCAAAGTGTTTAGGTATGTCAAACACTAAAATTGCTAACATCATCTACTTTTGCAAGTTGACCTAAAGGTTGCCTAACAAAGAATTGTCATGTGATTTGAAACATCGAGGGGCAGTATTTATTTTCTAGAACCTCAAGGGGTGTATTTATAACTTTCAAAACATTTTCTAAATAAAAATAAAATGAATAAACATAAATCAACACCACTATAGAAGTTTGAAAGCTTTAATTGGAAAATGAAATAAACAGTAACAAGAAATCAAAATGTTAAACTTACCCTTTAGATGTTGTTCCCATCTTTAAGCACCTAAGATTGGAAGGGGGGGGGGAGAACCCGTAAATAACTGAAATATGACATCTATAAAGATCAACAAGGTAAAATTAAGCTACTTGTGCCATCAAACAAATGTTCATGACTTAGAGCATGAGAAATCCAATTACAGCATACGGTGTTAACATTAATACAAACAAGCTTTTCCAAGCCAACAAAAAAAAAAAAAAAAAACTCAGTCAACCTAAACCAATATATATTAAACAAAAGCCCTCTTGCTGGCCACTCCTTGTCAAAATTATTGCAAGCTTCAGTCTGTAAGAATTTCCAATGACAAGCTTCTAACTGAGATTTCTCGTTGGCTTATTGGAGATGGAACTTAAACTCACTTTTGGATAGATAATTGGATGTTGGATAAGTCATTAATAGAATATGCTACAGTGACTCATCTTTGCTTTCCTAAAAACTTAAAGACTCTTTCAGATTTGAGGCCAATCAATCTTTGTAACTTTAGTTACAAGGTGATCATGAAGATCCTATCCAACAAGCTAAGTTGACTTCTTCCTGTCATAATCTTGACCACCACTCTCTTGTACCACTAACACAAAACACACACACACATAAAAATATATATATATATATATATTAACTAACTTACTTTAAATGTACAAGTAACCTCAAGGAAGTTGGTAGGAGAATGGTTATGGACCTGTGATGACAAGTGCACCCCTGCAGCCGCCTTAAAGACAAGTTTGGCGATAGACTGAGATCACAATTCCTAATGAACATATCAAAATCCTTCATCCTTCAAGTAACTTATCCCCACTAATCTTCTTTGAAACTACCGTAATATTAAACTTAAAGTCACCACCGACACCAACTGGGAGAACGCAACACATAAAGAGCAACTAACTCCTCCAAAAAGAAAGCTATTAACCTAGGATTGTTCGGGCTGCAAACACTGGTAAACCCCACTCTCTCCTAAATCCTTCCCCCCTCCTCGTTATGGTTGCTAGATTCCCCTTCCGTAAGTCCAAAGTAACTAACGGCAGCATTAGAATTGCAGCCATCAACTAGTATAAGATCCTTACAAGGAAAAAGAATATCATCTCAAGCCCCCAATGCCAAGCCACTCTTCAAACGGATTGAAGGTTTAGAGATTCAGTATCAAAAAGGAAAGCAAATAATGCCCGCGTTCAAAGCTCAAGTACACATGATGATCAATACCCCATTTGATTGCATACGACGAAGATCCATTTCAACTGTTTGAAAACCGACCATTACCGATTTTCCCTCATTTTCCTTTTGTTTATCAATCCTTATGAATGATTTTTCCCCCTCCGTTCTTGGATCAAGAAAGCATTGTTGAATCAAAATCACTGTATCAAGTTGACTCTCTGCAACGCGGAAATCGAGATTTGTTGTATCATCGCCACCCAAAGACTCATCTAAGAAGTCATCAACTTCACCATATCCCCCAAATTTTGCAACGCGTTTGACAACCACAAAATATTCTTCATCAGTCTTCCCCATGATTGAATTGGAATACCCCCGGCCATTCATCACAAAATCCTCTTTGACAAGATTATCCTTGCATAAAGCCTTCATGCAACCGAATCAAACATCCCTTTGCAACTTTTCACTAACCAGATCACCAAGCTCGAGCCATCTTTCCTGTTCTTGAAAAAACTGAAGATTTCCTATTGGAGAAACACCATCAAGAAGTCTCACTTCCGACTGATCAAACCATATTGATCGAATAAAACAGGACCATCAATAACCTTTATAACTCATAAGAAACGTTAACCCACCTTATCAATGGTTTAAAAGGCCAAAGCTTGCATGCCTACATGATGTCTCCACAAATATAGTTATTTTTATGTAATTATTGTAGCACACCTCTACCCCCACCCCGAAGCCAGCAGTTTTCTTTCCATTCAAGATGTTTTGTTTATAACAAAATTACAAATTACTAACATTATTAGCTCCAATGATTGGAGCTGATAATGTTAGAAATGAATAAACTAAGATAGTTTGGATATGTACAACGAAGTTGGTAGAGGCAACACTAAGATAGTGCAACAGGATTACTGCTAGTGGAAATGCTATGGGGAGTGGAAGACCTAGATTGACATGTGATACAATGGTGAAGAAGGATATGAATTTACTTAAGCATATGGCCCACGTAGCCGACCCCAATTGATTGGGACAAAAGGTTTGGTTTGGGTGATTTGGTTAAGTACCAAATAAGTTTCAACCTAAATCCGGATACAAAATTCCCATACACTATGAATCAAAAATAATTGGCCCATATTTTTCAGCATGCATTCTCTATTGAATTACCAGAAAACCACCTGACAAGTTAGCATTAATCACAGCTTTATAAATTGGGATTCATGTCTAGTTTTCAAACCTAATCATTTCAGCCCACCATAGGTTTCTCATTTTTACTTTCTCCCTTCTTAATATTACACAATGTTGTATCCATTCATCAAAAATACACCATGTTGTCTCCTCTTTGTTTCTTTATCTTTCTTTAGAAAGTAAACTTCTTTAATCACAACCCAAATAGCTTGCATTACATGTTTTCTAAACCTTAAGATCCAACTTTCACCGGTCCTAATCCTGAGATTCTTTTTACCACTAATCCATCACCGCCCCATGAGGAACCTTAATAAAGTTCATAATTGAAATTTATGCAAGCCGCTTTTTTGATAAGCCATAGTAACTATAATTTCAAAGCAAAAGCAGTCTACATTGTAGAAGAACTCAAAGCAAACAAGGTTATTAACTACATTGCCTCCCAAGAAAATCAAAAATAAAATGAATCCAATAAATACAGTAAATTGGAAGGCCTACAACCATCTAATGACATCCCAAAAAAAACAGCGATCAGGCGAATACGGACATGATTTTTGTCAACATGTGCTACTCCCACGAACAATCCCCCAAAAAACAAAACCTTAGAACATGGTATTTTGCATTTTAATGGATCAAAAGTCATATTACAATAGATAAAGGCACCTTAAAATACAATCCTATACAACGATTGAACCTTCTTAGTTTTCCTTTTAGAATTGGTATGGAACTCTTGGTTTGTATGAAATACAGTATAGAGTTTCTTGCATAATTAAAATGCAGAACCATCTTACAAGCACCAAGAAATCATCATTTTATTCTTTAATATTTAATGGCAAAAGTGGCACCTCACAGGAAACAAGAAAGTTCATAGATATGCATACAAACCCCACTTACGTTCAAGACAAGATGCCTTCGTTTTGCGAATTTTTTCAGAGTGTTTGGCATCATAACTGGTTGGAGTTGTGCTCTTGCACTGCATAATAGAGAAAGGAAAAAATATTAGTACAACCACTGTACTTAAAAAGAAAATTGAAAAGGAAAACATAAAAGCTCTCCAAACACTCTTTTAGATAAAACTAAAATCTTTGCATTAGGAAAATTAAATCTTTGGATTTAAGCCATAAACCTATGACTCATCCTGGTGTAGGACGGGGCAGAGAAAGGGAGAAGAACTCAAAGTCGGCCACAGCGTTTTACTCTCAAATAATATTCTTAAAATTGAATATTACAATGTCAAAACCCTAATATTTATATAACCAAAGTCTTATATTCTAATTAGGAAACCAAACCAATTAATATTCCTGGCTAACTTTATTCAATTAAATCCAAGTAAAAAATAATAATAAACTGCCAATTACAATTATGGGACCAAAAAGACTTTGGACCCGTGGACTTCAACATTGGCTTCCAAATCCAATAATTGCCATCTAACCAATCAAGGGCTGCACCATCACATCTTCAACTAAGAAAAGAGCCAACAACTACTATATCACCAATAACCATTCCCAATGACATTGAACTGTGAAAAATTGTACCTCTTCATATTCTTTGTCTACATTGTCACATGGATATAGCTCCGCCGTTCCTGGAAAATTTTCCAAGTTCTTGCTTAGAGCTGATAAACTCAATATGGCTGCAACTTTTCTAGTAACTACGAAGACAAAGAACAAAAGGATAAAGGTAAACACGTAAACAAGATATCATAACCGTAAAATAAAACGGAAGAAAGCCAGAGAAGTTTCTGAAAGCCGATCGCTACTTCCCTTAGAAACGAAAAGCAGGAAAGTCACTAGGAGTGATCGAGCAACTTCGTTTAGTATGAGAAAAATGGTTCACACTAAACTCTTTGAACCAGAAGAAGCTGAAGAAGATTTTCCTGCAAAAGACAAGAACAAAAAATTTGAGAAGAAAAATATGGAAAGACAATATCAAAAACAATTAACCCATAACATGAATTAGTTAAACTAAAGCATAAAAACATCAATTTGCAACGTAGGTTGAGGTTGTAAAAAACTTAGAAGTTCAACAAAGAACCTTTATTAAAACATATCCACAAACACAAACTGAGAAAGAAATGTCAATGATGAAAGTAAAACTAGTGATAAATCAAGCATAAAAAGTAACTAACAATATTTGTTTTGAATTTTTGGTTTCCAACATGCTGCAAGTTGTACACAGATGCCATGTACCTTTTGTGAGAAGATCAAAAAGACACTGAAATTTTTAAAAAAACCTCTACCATTTTGAGCAAATGGTTTCAGATAACAAAAAGCACAAACAGATCGAAATAGGCAAAAGAAATATAATTAAATTATGTTTAAAGCGAGATAGAAAAAAAGAGAGAGATGGCAAAAGGAAACAGATACTGACCTCCACCACGAAAAAAACGAACCATGACTCCTTATCAACAGGAAGCAAGGTTGTAAAAAATTGAATTGTTGTTTTGGGATTCTACCAGCCTAGATAGGATCATCAAATCAAGAATCGTAAGATCCTAGAAGAAATAAAATATGTATAACAATTTTTATATGATTAATGAATACTATCAAAATTCAGAGAGAATGCAATTGAAAAATAAAAAATAAATTAATTAAAACTATCTTTGAAAAAACAAAATTAATCAGATAAACATTCACAAATTGACCTAAACAAACTTGAAGATTTGTGAATTATAAATGTCGGTATGAGGAGATTCATCTGTTTGCCATGTTCACTAACACTAACATTAAGCAATATGTGGTGTCCCTAAATCCGTATCCATTTTTTTTATTTTTTTACAGTTTCTAGGCAAATCCCCTTATTTGACAATTAGGAGAATATGCGAAGAACAACCGTACCCAGTTCAGGTGGCGTGAGATTGGCCAAAGCAAAGAGCACACAAACAAGGCTGACAGGAAGGAAGGAAATTGATAATTGAATGAAGGCAAATAATTGAAGGATTAAACATTTGAAATTATAACAAACTATCAGTCTACAAAAGCACAGCACAGCACATTCTTTCTCAGTTAATAGAATTGATTTAAAATGCTAATTCCATAACAACGACTCTCAGAGAAATAGACAACCTAATTCATAAGCATTGTAAATCACAACCATAACTCATTCTTCAGTAGAGGGCCAAAATTAATCATTAACAAGAAAAATAAGACCAACAAAAAAATACAGAAATTGTAATTCTATTGTTAAGAAGAGGCGGAGAAGATTGGCCTGGATCTCAAACCTAAAGGGGAAAAACCGGGAAAACAAAAATGCTGAACACGAAGAAAAGCTATCAGCCCTAGCCTGAAAACAAAAAAAAAAACCCAAAAAAAAACAGCGACGTGAAGAAGAAGAAGAAGAAGAGATGCACGTGAGGAGCGGAGGGTTAATCATTAACAAGAAAAATAAGACCAACAAAAAAATACAGAAATTGTAATTCTATTGTTAAGAAGAGGCGGAGAAGATTGGCCTGGATCTCAAACCTAAAGGGGAAAAACCGGGAAAACAAAAATGCTGAACACGAAGAAAAGCTATCAGCCCTAGCCTGAAAACAAAAAAAAAACCCAAAAAAAAACAGCGACGTGAAGAAGAAGAAGAAGAAGAAGAGATGCACGTGAGGAGCGGAGGGCTGAATTGAAGATGTTATTTCTTTCTCGTGTTGCTGCGATACATATACCGCTCATTTTATATTCCCCAAAAATATCCCGTTACACTTCTATTTTGGGTTTAGGAAAATTGGGATAGTTTGGCATGTCCTAAATAAATATTTTTTTTGATTTTTTGAATTAAAAAGTAGAAAAAAATATATGATTATTTGAGATAATTTTTTAACTTCTTATAAAAAAATATGTATTAAAATATTATATAAAATAACAAAATTATCATTTTACCGCTACTATAATGAATTGCTTCCTGACTTGGATTGTTGAGGAAGCCAGTGGGTAGGAAACAAGTATAGGTGCAGATTACCTACAATCCGAGATTGAATTGGACTATACTGTTCAACCCGTAGGGGCCACCACCGGTCTCGTTTTGATAATCGGAACCGTTCAATGTGTATAAATTATCAAGTATTATATGTCTGTAAAAAATCATGTTAGTCGGATATGATAGCTATCTGATTATATTAGTTTTTTGTCAATCGTTAATTTATTCACCGTCAATTTTTTTTTTACAAAACTGATTTGATCATATAGTTATCGATATCCGATCAACGTATTTTTTACAAACATATAGTACTCTACGAGTTTTACATATTGACGGTTTAGATTATCAAAACGAAACCCGTGATAGGCCCCATGAGCCGAACAGCACCATCTTGTGCAAATTTTTTTGTACACCTACTTGACCATCACTTCAATACTGACAGTGGCTTGTACTTGGCCTGTGTAAAGCAGAGTTTTATATATATATATATATATATTTGTAAATAGTAATAATTTTTTATTTTTTTAGTAACTTTTTGACTTTTTATATTTTTTAGTATATGTCAAACCAGGCCTTACTATGTAGTCCTATGTCTTTCTAATCCCAATATATTTTTGATAGACCAATAGATCCACAATTTTTAAAGTTTTATACCCAGAGGTCTCTTTTTTATTTCTTATTTTTTAAATGACTGTATTACTCTTTGATTTAATATATATATATATATATGTGTGTGTGTGTGAAAAATCAAATTTTAGATTGTGGATCTCGCCTATGTGAGGTTGTCTGCGATCTCAATCTCTCTCTGTGAGGTCAATCTCTTTATGTTGTGAGGTCGATCTGAACTGTTATGTACAAGCGATCTCTGCGTACGCACTGTGTGTGTGTATGTGTGTGTGTGTGTGTGTGTCTCTTTCTCTCTCTCTCTGTCTATCTCTCGATACATATATGTATGTATATATATAGATAAGCAAATTCGCATGATCTCTGGTTCGTGTTCGTCAATGTTGTTATAGTTCTTTGTTTTGTAATAAATTTTGTTTGTTTGATATTGATTTTATGATTTTTGTATGTGATATAATATAATGATTTTGATTTTTTTTATTTTGTTTGTTGTATAGTGTAATGTATTTTGAATTTGTAAATTGGAATTGTGAATTCTGAAGTTTTGATACTGATATATTATAACTATATAATTTTCTAGTTTGGATTCTATGATCAATTGTTTACTGGTTTGTGATTTGTAATATGGAAGGGTGTTTCATGTTAATGTGTAAATACAGTAAGTCTTGTGCTCTTATTAAGATTAGTAAGGGATGTAGTTATCATGAAGTTATTGAGAAAATATGTGTGAAGTTCAAGGAGTTGAGTGTTGGTAACTTTTGTTTGTTTTTCTCTATTTCTGGATATTCGAATTGTATTGTTGAATGTAATGATGATTTGGGAAATATGATGTCAATGGTAGCTTCTAGTGGTTCTCATGTTGTTGTTGTTATTATGGGTAATAGGAGAATTGTGAAGGTTGATGATAATTCTTCTAGGATTGATTTTGTAATTTGTGTGAGTCTTTGGTTAACGATTGTAATGATTTTGGTGGTTTGTTGTCTGCTAGTTGGAAGGGGATTATACACAATGTTGGTCAAGAATTTGACGGTAGAGTACCGACGTTCCGTATTGCGTTGGCTAAGTATGCAGTTGAGTGTGGTTTTGCAGTGAATTATTTGAAAAATAATGCAACAAGAGTAATTGTTGAATGTATGATGAAGTCGACTACGAGTTATAAATGGTTTGTGCATGGAAGGGTGTTGATGAATTCCGACATTTTTTTTATTATGAAGTTGGATAATGTGCATACTTGTGGGGTTGTTGCTTGTAGATCTTGTAGCAAAATGTTTGGTTCTAGACTTGTCTCTGATATTGTGCATAATGATATTAGTAATAATCCGTTGACTCATCCTTTCAAAATTTAAAAAAAGTTGAAAAAACAATATGGTATAGATGTTTTCTGATCGAATTGCATGGTTAGGAGTTGATAAGGCAAGAGGTGGCTATTTGGTGATTTTGCATCTTCTTTTGACCAACTTCAATGGTACCTTGAGACGAGTATACGAACGAATCCCGGAAGTATGTTTGAATTAGATGTGATGAAAGTAGTGGGTGTTTTCGGAGGTTGTTTATGGCATTTCATGGATGTTTGTATGGACTTTAATTTTGTCGTCCGTTATTGTTTGTTGATAATGCATTCTTGAAAGGGTGTTATAAGGGGCATTTGCTTGTAGCAATGGTAATCAAGGTATATATTTATTTGAGGTAAATTACACTGATACCTCATAAGGTTTATGTTTATTACAGTTCCCCCCTCATCTTTTGGAAATTGCATCTCCCTCCCTGAGGTTTAAAGTTTCATTACAGATTCTTCCCTCAGCAATTTAATTTGTTTAAATACCAATTTTGCCCTCACTGGGTAAATTACATTGACGCCCCTCACATTTTAGAAATTACAATCCTCTCATTAAGGTTTAAGGTAGAATTACCAATTGCCCCCTCGGTTAGTATTAGTTAGAAAAAAAATTCATTGAAAAAAAAAATTAATTGGGAAAAAAAATTATTTGAAAAAAAATTGTTAGTAAAATTTTTAAATTTTTGTTTAAAAAGTAATGTAAACTTATTTTTTGAATTTACGTTTTTTCCTCAAATTTACAAACTGAGACAACAATTTATAAACCAAAAAAATTATCAAACAAGTTTTTATGACAGTTTTTAAAATTTTAGTAAATATAAATTGAAAACTGAAAACGAAATGGTTACCAAACAGGCCTTCGATGGAAACAATGTCGCAAAATTAACAAATAATTAAATAAGTTACTAACGTAAGAAATGATCTATCAAAGATTCTTAGGTTATGTATGGTTTGATTTTTAGAATTTTTTTTTTTAAATTAAAAATTAATTTGGTTAAGAAATAAAAAATAAAAAATAAAAAATAATTATCATTTAAGGGTAAAAAAAATTATCATTTTAACTTTTGGGCAAGTTATATACACACGTATAGTTGCTTCAATTTAATTTGTAAAAAATTATTTATAATCACTCGAAAGATAAAAATTATATAAAAATGATAATTATTATTTTTTTCTTAACCAAAATTATATTTAAAAAAATCCAACTATCTTCCCAAACACAAAAATTTTAGCTTGCTAAAATACTCAAAAAACTAAAATAACCTACTAAAATAGCAACTTCCCAAACACCCACTAGTTTTCGACTCATGTATGCACGGGTTTTATTTTAAATTTTAATTTTAAAAAAATGTTGAGATTTGTATATAGACAAATGTATAAAAATACGTTTAATGTATGAATTTCTAATTTTTTTTGTATATTATTTGATTTTTAACGAACGTATAATGAACCGTCATTAGCAAGACTCTTAATTTTATCAAAGATTGTGTTTTAAAATTAGTTTTGTGTAAATATGTATGAATAATTGGTTACAATATTAATAAATAAGAAATTATGAAACTTCATATAATAGTTGCACATAAAAATATAAAAGTACATATAAATTAAAATTAAAAATTTGTTCATAAAAAGTATCAACAAATAAAACTTATACAAAAGTTTAAAATATATATATACATTTTTTTTTTCTAACTAAAAAAAGAGAAAATTCCAATAAGAACTTCATACACTAATTAGTATACTAATTGTTATATATAACATTACTCATATTATATTGCTAACCCTCTTTGTTATATTAACTCAACACATTTTTTTATGTTGAAATTGTTTTAAACACTACATTTATTTTCAATCATTAGATTGGTGCTTTTGACTCCTTTGACATGTTAAAATGCATTATAATCATTTCAATCATAAGAGGTTGTAGTTGAAGAGAGTGGATTGGACTGATTAAGGGTTAAAAATCCTTTATCCTTTCTATGGACAAAAAATATATTTTACATTTTTTAATATTTAGTACAATGTAAAATAAAAATCAAAGAAAAATATTTTTTTATGATCAATAGAATAAAAATATTTTTCGAATTAAAATTTTACTATTATAATCACATTTTCCCACCACTAACACCTCCACAATCACACCACCACCACCACAGCAACAATCACCAACTCCGTCGCCATCGCCACACCACCAACTTCACTTTCACCTTTGTCCCACCGCAACAAACATAAAAATTATAAATTTACGGCCATATTATGAGCATATAAAGATTTTGAGTGTTTTAGAATTTGCATTGCCACCCCCACATCACCACACTTTCACCACCCTCACCCACTTCCTCCACCCCTTTCCCACCGCCTCCATTTCTTTCTCTCCTATTCCAGTGCGTCCCCTCCATCACAGCCTCCCTTGTGAGTCACCATCTCTCCAACCATCACCACTTTTCTTTCTCTAACAAAATTTCCTAAACCCTCCCCAAAAAACAAATAATATAAAAATAAAAAAATAAAAATGCATCTATGGTTGTGCATAGTTGACTATTCAACATTGTAAAAATTAATTGAGCTCTGCCAACAAGTGTGTAACATATCCAGGATGAATTCTGAAGATTATTACAGGGTTAGGCTGTTGGGCATGCAACATATTTTTACATACACAAAAACAACCTGTCCAATCTCAGCTAACCGGAAGCTTATTGCAAGCAACATTTATCTATCTGCTTAGCCATAACACGATATTTTAAATTACAAAGCATTTCACAAGACATGAAATATAATGGCGAACATCTCTCACATGCACACCCTAATTTAGCCAGAGCAAGAAAATTTTGGCTCATTCCAGTTCCTTTAGATATAAATCACACAAATTATATAAATATTAATATATCACACCAAACTCTAACTAGCAAACCTACTTAAAATGAAGCATTGGTTGAACTGGATAATTACTCCATCCATAGATACAATAGTCTCCGATCAGATGCATAATTTATAGATTTCAGTGTGGTTCAAACATTCATGAAGTAGTTGCGAACAACATCACAACATTTAGTAGCCTATTTAAATTGGGGACAATTGTTGCGCATGAATTCACACATCATTTCTTTCTCGCTAAGGCACTGCGTGATTGAAGAAAAGGAAAAACAAATGTTATAACTCTGGACAACCTCATGATTATGTAACACTAACAACTTGTTTAGTAAAAACACAATCGATAATTTAAATAATTAGTCCATGTTATTCATTCTCAAATAGAAAAAGCAAGAAACGGTTATTTATATCACGTGTACAAATATCTACAAGCTCCTAAAATAAACACAATTTACCTTCTTGTACATCTCATAAGATATTCTGCAGTATCGAGGGTCCTTTTCCCTTTCATGCCACAAGTAATCTATAGGACGGTCAAAACCTGCAGCAGTTGCCTTTTTCTGGAGAGATTCCTTATATTCTGCATTAAAAAGCAAGATCCAACACAATTCAACCATGTATATAACAAATTTTCTTGGGTTAAATTACAAATATACCACTGAGGTCTATCAAAAGTACAAATTTTCTCATAATTTGACAAATTTCAAATATCCCCTGTCAACGATTGTCTCTTAAATTAATAGAATTAATAGATAATGTAAATTACCTAATTACCCTCCAATACCTAAATAAATTTACCCTAATACCTACACATCCTTCCTCCATTATGCAAACCCATGTCCACCCTCATCCACTCTCCTTTGCCACCCCCACCCCTTCGCATGCTTCACCGACACCCTTTTGCAGCCATGGACAAGAAGAGCTGGAACAATTGCCCTCTATATTAGCTTCTCTCTCAACTTGTCCTCAATCCCCCTTTGTTACTTTTCATTTTCTCCCACTTTATCACACCACCATCCACAATTGGCTTAACACATACTATTTTCTCATGAGATGAAGTTGTTGGAACCTAAATGGCACAGACACAGATGCACCAACATTCCAATTTTCCAAAAATGTAGAACGCGACATTTTTTAAAAACGTTAAAATTTTACATTTTTTACAAATTTATTATGTGTCATATACAGTGTTTTAAAAGGCGCGCGTAAATGCGAGGCAAAATGAGGCGCACCCTTGTGCTTCAAACTGGTCAAGGCGAGGCGCAGGCACGGATTTTTTTTCGAGGCGTGAAGCGTGGCCTTCATGGGCTTTACTTATTTTTTTATTCCAACTGTTGATTAAGTGCTTTTTATTTCTTGTTTGAACTGCAAACTAGAAGCTTAGTTGTTTTGAACTCTATGTGGATGATCTTGAAACTTTAGGTTTTTGGTGCATAAGAATGTAATACTTTATATCTTTTGTTGGATATTATATTTCTAATTTTTAGAAGATTGAATGTTATGTTTATCAATCATTTGTAATGGTGAAGCTTGCTTTGTTATTTTTGGAATTCTATATATATTTGTTATGTTGAAAAATTTGCCAATTTAATAATTTTGCTTTTGTTCTGCTATTGCGCCTCACCTTGGTGAGGCACACACCTCGCCTCGCACCTCACACTTAGGCTATAGAAGACCTTATCACCTCGGTGCGCATAGAGCCTTTTAAAACACCGGTCATATATACAAATAATTTATTCAAAGAATTAAAAAAATATAACATAACTCTAATTATAATTAAAAAAAAAAACAATACATTTCATAGTTTGAATATCAAGATATCATTCACATGAGAATTATATAATAACGAATGCAGAACACTGTTATATAAAGGGGTTCATCACGTAGGACTTGAATAAGCAATGCAATAAACGTCACCAAAAGTGTTTGCATTGTGTTGGTTAAATGTCTGATATTATAAATGTAATTTTTAATTAAAACAAGATGAAGTGTCAGACACACTTTTAGGAGTATCCAAAGCGTCTCGGTGTTAGACAAAACACGCTTGTTGGTGACTAGTTTGGTGTGGGTTTGAGCAAGAAGTAAGTGCATTTTGGCAATGAGGTTAAAGATGCACACCAAGAACACGCTTCAGTTAATGGTAGACGCAAAAATCTCGTTTAGGGGGGCCAAATTATATATACAGTAAAAAATTGACTACGAAATTTATTCTATTAAATTCTTACCAAAGTTTAGTATTGTTTCATTTGGCTCTTCTAGGAAAGTGGTTGTGGCGGTTTGGGATAGAAAGGGAGCAGTTGTGGAGAAAAGTGGTGGAGGCTAAATATGGGTTAGGATGGGGGGGATTGGAGTACAGGGGAGGTGAAGCAATCACACGGGCAGAGTTAATAAAAGGGATTTGGTTAGGTCGGGAGGAATTTTGGAAGAGGGTTTGTTTTAAAGAAGGGATGGGGGATCGAGTTCGGTTTTGGAGGGATCAATGGTGTGGAGAGTTGGCCTTGGAGGTAAGGTTCTCATTTTTCGCATTGCGGTTGACTGGGAGGCAGCGGTGGCCTCCTGTGTACAAGTGCAAGGGTTGGAGGTGGTGTGGAATGTCAGATTGCGACGTGATGTGTAGGATTGGGAGCTGGACCAGCTGCTGGATTTGTTGGGCTTTTTGTATGGCCTTCGGTTTGAGAGGGTTGGAGAGGATTGTTTGAGTTAGGATGGCCCGAAGACCAAAGGGGTTTTTTCGGTGTATTCTTTCTATCATATGCTTACGGGAGGGGCTAGGGTGCCATTCCCATGGAAGAGTGTTTGGGTGGCAGGTTGTCTGTCCAAGGTTGCTTTCTTTGTGTAGACATCATTGTTTGATAAGTGAACTAGTGTTGCATGTGTTGAGGGGCTGAGGAAACAGTGGATCATTTGCTTGTATATTCCCTAGTTGCTTCACGTCTTTGGATGTTTATTGTCATTATTTTTGGTTTGGTTTGGGTCAACCAGTGTCGGTGTTGGCGGTTTTACAAAGTTGGGCTGGGGGTAGGGTTGGGAGGCGGCATCGGAAAGCATAGAAGTTGGCTGGACATTGTTTGATGTGGTTGATTTAGTTGGAGTGAAATAGATGGGTTTTTATGGGAGAGATACGTTCGGTGGCATGGTTGGAACAACGTTTGTTCACTGTGTTGCATAGCTGGATATCATTATCAATTGATCCGAATGTGCTATCTTTGTTGACTTCGTAGAGGATTTGATTCAGTAGTTGTTTTGATGCTCTTGTGGAGCTGTTTTGTGTTGCTCTTATATATGTGTTTTGCTGGCTAGTCTTTTAGTTGGTTTTGTATTATTTGCATCATCTTCATGTTTTTTCAATAAAGTTTGCTTATTTATCAAAAAAAATACTTATAAGAATAAGAATTGAACATTATTATTATATTCGCAAAAAAAAAAAAATTCAAACAATAAATACTTGACATTTATGAAACAAAAAGTATGTACAAAATAAAAAAATAAAAATAATAACATATATTAAATACTTTATCACAATGATCATAGCCATATTGGTCGTAGTAGCTAACACCAACTTGAGTCATCAAATACCAATTTGGTCATAACTAAAGTCACTACAATAAGTCGTAACTAAAATCACTTTTACACATAATCAAACATAATAATGAGACTTAACCAATTTTTATTTAATACTTTGTTAGCCTCACTAAGACAATGGCCTATAACTAAAAACCATGATGACTCGTAACCAACACCAATTTAGACCATAATTAGCATATGGTATACACCACGTGTATTGCATCATAACCCTAACTAAAGCAAATTGAGATTTTTGAGGGGCCAACTGTTTACCAGTTATAAAACCAAGAGCAAATATGACATATTTTACAATAATTTTAAAATGTTTGAAGAGGCTTGGAAGATACTTGCCAAAAGTTCGATACATTGTCTCACAAGGATGTAGCCTCACTGGTGTTTGCAATTTGCAATCATTAACAGAGTTGTATATGAATTTATATGGAAGTATATAATAATGAAAATAAAATGAAAAAGTCATTTCTTTTCCTAATAGGGTGTGGTTGAGGGAGGAAGAGAGGGAGAAAGGAAGAGAATAGGAAAGACAGAGAGAGAAAGGGGCAAAGTGTTTAGGTATGTCAAACACTAAAATTGCTAACATCATCTACTTTTGCAAGTTGACCTAAAGGTTGCCTAACAAAGAATTGTCATGTGATTTGAAACATCGAGGGGCAGTATTTATTTTCTAGAACCTCAAGGGGTGTATTTATAACTTTCAAAACATTTTCTAAATAAAAATAAAATGAATAAACATAAATCAACACCACTATAGAAGTTTGAAAGCTTTAATTGGAAAATGAAATAAACAGTAACAAGAAATCAAAATGTTAAACTTACCCTTTAGATGTTGTTCCCATCTTTAAGCACCTAAGATTGGAAGGGGGGGGGGAGAACCCGTAAATAACTGAAATATGACATCTATAAAGATCAACAAGGTAAAATTAAGCTACTTGTGCCATCAAACAAATGTTGATGACTTAGAGCATGAGAAATCCAATTACAGCATACGGTGTTAACATTAATACAAACAAGCTTTTCCAAACCAACAAAAAAAACAAAAAAATTCAGTCAACCCAAACCAATATATATATTAAACAAAAGCCTCT